GTGTGTGTGTGCTCCTCTCCCTCTCGAGTGGAAGGAGCATTTGTCACCACAAATCATCCTTGATTGCACAGAGCTGCCTTCAGAGAGGGCTCACCCACCCACCACCCTCGGGAAAAAAAAAAAAAAAAAAAAATTAGACATTTGTTATATGACATGAATTGAGATTAATTAGCGAATATTAACCCGTCAGGCAGAGCACGAACACATTTTTGGAAGCGGCAGCAGCGGGTTTGTCTCAGTTCTGGGTGGAAAGTTTTGCAGGGAAATGTTGGGGAGGGGAAGGAGAGGAGCCGGGGGGGGGGGAGGAGGGAGATGCTGGAAAATGCCACTTGTTCAGCCCAAAAAGTTCCGGGGGAATTTGCAGATTTGATTTGGGGGAAGCTGAGAGCCCTGGGGTGCCCCAAACCTTGATCAGAGCTGAGAGGCCGAAATTTGGGCTCATCTCGAGACCTCAGGCTGGGTGAGGAGCAGGGGTCAGGAAGGTGCTGGTGCACTGAGTTATTTCCCCCCCCCCCCCCCAAAAAAAATGGGTAAATAATGTAATTATTTGGGCTGGAAATGACCTAAAGACCATCGAGTTCCAAACAAGGACACCTTGCACTAGACCTTCCTGTTTTGCTATTTGCCATTAATGTCCCAGAAAAAAAAAAATAAAATTAATTTTGTTATTATTCTCCTTGAGAATGCCATCTTTTTTTGGGGGGGAATCATAACAATTCACCTGAGCTGACTGAGGGAAGGAAACCTGGAGGTTTCAGGGCAAACAGCACTGGTTAATTTGTACCATTGGTGCCTTGGTTTTTTTGTTTTGTGGGTGGCTTTTTTTGGTTTTTTTTTTTTTGCTTTCACTCAGAGTCAGAATTAAAGCACGAAAGGGAAGGATTTTTTTTCTGTCGGGGTTTAGTTGTTTATTAAATTTTATCTACAGTACAAAGAGTTGTTGCAGCACTTTCAGCTGACAGCTAAAAGCGAGGGGATATGGAGATGTGTCTAGCTGGTTACAAGGTCTTTTAAAAACAATTAAAAGCTAATATCTCTATTATTTCTATTTTTGGCCCAATAACCAAAGTCCCTCAATGCAGCACTGACCGACCAAAAACCACCTGAGACCATGAAGAGGAAAAGACACCCCACCCCCAAATCCTCCATCTTCCCCCACACCCATCTCTCCACTCCAAAAAAACCCCAAAAACCTGCCGAGCCCTCGCCGTGTGAATTCACTCACCTCCGTTCACCTGCCCTCTGATTTAACCCCATGGCTCCATTTTGGAATCCTCCCCGAGGTTTGACTGATGCTCCCCCTGCCCTTGTGCTCCCCAGCCAGCGCCAACATCTGTAACGTGGTGCTGATGCGGCACGCGGAGCTGGAGGAAGGCATCGATGTGCTGGACGACAAAGGCAACGTGGTCGGCTCCTCCAGGGTGGCTGCCAAACACGTGAGTGAGTGTGAGGGGCTGGCAAGGGCTTTGGAGGGCTGGGAATGGAGCACAGCAAAGATTTGGAGCAGAAATTCCGGGGCTGGTCCCGATGGTTTGGACATTGAGGATGGATCCTTGCATAGGAATTCCCTGCGGAGCAAGGATCTCTCACAGCTTTTCCCCAACGAGCCCAGCACCTTTGCACCCCTCCCCTGCCCAACCTGCGGTAAAAAATGTCCCCCCCAAAGCTGGGCTGAGGGCAGCCAGATGTTCCAACAGCTGCTCTGCTTTCCCTCCCCGTGCCCTCTGCCCCGAATTGTTCCCTTCCCAGCCCCTCGGGGTGGTTCTGCCTCCTGAGCATCCCCGGAGCCGTCGTCGTTTTCCAAGCGGGCTCGGAGCTGAGATGTGGAGCTGAGCACACGCCCAGGCACGGGAATTTAAAATAATAATAATAATAATAATAATAAAAATAAAATAATAATGCTTGGCATTTCCCTCCCCTCCTTCTGTCCACGGCGCTCCAGAGACAGCAATTAATGCCCAGCCCTGCAATCCTCGGCAGGAACGGGGAGATCTCGAGTGCAGCTCCATATTGTTGGTTAAAAGGGGGATTAAAACAATCTGGTGAAGGGCTCTCAGACATTTCTTGGAGCCAGTTTTCCTCACTTCCATTCGCTGGCTCCAGGACCCGCTGTCCCCTCTCCATCCTGATGGTTGAAAGAGAGAATAAAAGATTGCAAGAGAGAATAAAAGATTAAAAGTGATGAGAGAGATGGAGGTGGAGCTTAAACATGAAATTTGGGGAGTTGTGGGAACTTCTGCTCAGCTGCCATCCAATGCCTGGATAATTAATTCCTGGATAGGTTAATCCTGGGTTTTGTCATGTAAAACGTGGCAGATCCTCAGTGTGACACAGCTGTCCCTGTGGGGGGGCTTCTTCTGGTGTAGATTTCCCTGTGACATAAAATCGTGGGATGGTTTGGGTGGGAAGGGACCTTAAATCCCATCCAGTGTCACCTCCCAGGTGACAAATCCCACTGTGCCAGGGGGATCCAACCTGGCCTTGGATCCAGGGGCAGCCCCAGCAAATCTGGGAATTGCAGCCCAGGCAGGAATTCCTTCCCAAGATCCCAGCCCAATCTCCCCTTTCCCAGTGGGAGCCATTCCCTGGGTCCTGTCCCTCCAGGCCTTGTCCCCAATTCCAGCTCTCCTGGAGCCCCTGCAGGGACTCTGGAAGATTCTCTGGATCTCAATAAATCCCAATCCTGCTTTGGTTGCTCCTTCTGGTGAGTGAGGAAGGAAGGACCAGTGGGGGCACAGCTGCAGCTCCGGGGTTTGGGGTTTGGGGTTTGGGGTTTGGGGTCTCCAGGGTTTTCCTGGGACAGGAGAGCCCTGAGGGTCCCAAATCCCTGCAAGGAATTCCAGCAGTGACTGGAATTTCTGGAGCAGCAGTGAGGAGCTGCATCCCCAGCACGAGGCTGGAATCAAAACTCAGCTCAGGGAGGGCTGGAAGAGCTGCTCAGCACATGGGGGGGTTCCCCCATGACATTTCCTGCAGCATTTCCTGCAATATTTCCCCCAACATTTCCTACAATATTTCCCTACAACATTTCCCTACATCATTTCCCACAACATTTCCCTTACAACATTTCCTACATTTCCCTACAATATTTCCCTGCAATATTTCCCCCAACATTTCCCTACAACATTTCTCACAACATTTCCCTACAACATTTCTCACAACATTTCCCTACAACATTTCCCTACAACATTTCCCCATCAGTATCACACCTACATTTCCCCTACAATATTTCCCCACACCATTTCCCCTTCACCATTTCCCTCCAACATCTCCCCTGCATCATTTCCTCTACAACATTTCTCCCACAACATTTCCCCCAATACTTCCCTCCAACATTTCCCTACAACATTTCCCCTACATTTCCCCTCCAACATTTCCATACACTTCCCTACATTTCCCTACAATGTTTCCCTACATTTCCCCTCCAATATTTCCCTAAAACATCTCCCTCCAACACTTCCCCACACCATTTCCCCCACATTTCCCCTGCACCGTTTCCCCTATAACACCTCCAGGCCCTGGGTCCCTCCCCCCTGGCAGCCCTGCCCTGTCACTGCAGGAATATTTGGGATATTTGGACGCTTCTGCTCACACCAGGTGGAGCCAGGGAAGCTCTCGTGTTTTATTCTCTGTTTATTCTCTGTTTATTCTCTGTTTTTTCTGTTTATTCTGCTCAGCCTCTCCTTGCCCTCAGAGCCATTTCTGGGCCTGGCAGGTCCCTCCTGGGCTGTGCTTGGGGTGTCTGGGATGAGTTTGGGATGTCTGGGATGAGTTTGGGATGTCTGGGATGTATTTGGGATGTCTGGGATGAGTTTGGGATGTTTGGGATGAGTTTGGGGTGTCTGGGATGAGTTTGGGATGTTTGGGATGTTTGGGGCTGTGTTTGGGATGTCTGGGATGTGTTTGGGATGTCTGGATGTCTTTGGGATATCTGGGATGTTTGGGGATGTGTTTGGGATGTCTGGATGTGTTTGGGGCTGTGTTTGGGATGTCTGGGATGAGTTTGGGATGTTTGGGGTGAGTTTGGGATGTCTGGGATGAGTTTAGGATGTTTGGGATGTGTTTGGATGTCTGGATGTGTTTGGGGCTGATTTTGGGATGTCTAGGATGAGTTTGGGATGTTTGGGATGTGTTTGGGGCTGTGTTTGGGATGTCTGGGATTAGTTTGGGGTGTCTGGATGTGTTTGGGATGTCTGGGCTGTTTTTTGGGATGTCTGGGATGAGTTTGGGGTTGAGTTTGGGATGTCTGGGGTGTGTTTGGGGCTGTTTTTGGGATGTCTGGGATGTTTGGGGCTGTGTTTGGGATGTCTGGGATGTGTTTGGGATGTTTGGGATGTCTTTGGGGCTGTGTTTGGGATGTCTGGGATATTTGGGGCTGTTTTTGGGATGTCTGGGATGTTTGGGGCTGTTTTTGGGATGTCTGGGATGTTTGGAGCTGTTTTTGGGATGTCTGGATGTGTTTGGGATGTCTGGGATGAGTTTGGGGCAGTGTTTGGGATGTCTGGGCTGTTTTGGGGATGTCTGGGATGTTTGGGGCAGTGTTTGGGATGTCTGGGATGTTTGGGGCTGTGTTTGGGATGTCTGGGATGTTTGGGGCTGTGTTTGGGATGTCTGGGATATTTGGGGCTGTTTTTGGGATGTCTGGGATGTTTGGGGCTGTTTTTGGGATGTCTGGGATGTTTGGGGCTGTTTTTGGGATGTTTGGGGCTGTTTTTGGGATGTTTGGGGCTGTTTTGGGGATGTTTGGGGCTGTTTTTGGGATGTCTTCATGTGTTTTTTGTTTGTTTTTGCCCCGCAGGCTCTGCTGGAAACAGCCCTGACCAGGGTGGTCCTGCCCATGCCTATACTGGTTCTACCTCCCATCATCATGTCCGTGCTGGAGAAGTGAGTCTGGGATGGGAATTTGGAGAAATGAGTCTGGGATGGGAATTTGGAGAAATGAATTTGGGATGGGAATTTGGAAAAGTGATTTTGGGATGGAAATTTGGAGAATTGAGTTTGGGATGGGAATTTGGAGAAGTGAGTTTGGGATGGGAATTTGGAGAAATGAGTTTGGGATGGGAATTTGGAGAAATGAATTTGGGATGGGAATTTGGAGAAATGAGTTTAGGGTGGGAATTTGGAGAAGTGATTTTGGGATGGGAATTCCCATGGGGAGGGGAGGAAAGCTCCTCAGTGGGTGTGAGGCAAAGAATTAAAGAATAATTCATCAGAACCCAAGGCAATGAAGAATACCTGACATTTATTGTGCTTGCAGAAATCAGGAGAGGCAGGCTGGTTTGTCATAAACGAAGCCAAAAGTTACACACAGGGTGAGGGGTGCAAAGTTACCAACAAGAAATAATAAATTCAAAACCTTAAACCAAAAAAAAAAAAAAAATTAATTTCAAAGTCTGAAATGTGCCCAAATGGATAAGACTCGTGGGCCAGAGACAAAAGTGAAGAGTTCAGGAATAATGAAAAATTTCAAAGGTTTTGTCAGAGACCCCCAACGACCCTGAAATTAGAAAAGCACAAACACAAAAGAACTTTTCATTTGAATACGAAACGAGGGTGGGCAAAACTGAACAAAACTAAGACATAAAAATATTCATTCTGTGCACTGTGCAATGCTGAGCTTTCAAGGAATAAATCAAACAGCAAAGTTTCGAGGAGCTTTGGGAGGAGCTACCCCCCCATGCACCTCAGCACTAAATAAATAATAAAACCACTTTATAACCCTCATTTCTCACAAGTTATGGAGGTTTTTTTCCACTCTAGTGGAGTTTTTTTTGTTTTTTTTTTTCCACGGATCAGTTGGAGAGGCAGCCAGGATTCCTGGTGGTGTAGCAGGGCTCAGGCATTGATGTTTCATGGAATCATGGGATGGTTTAAGGTTGGAAAGGTCCTGTCAGCTCACACGAGCCCAACCATCCCCAGCACTGTCCCTGTGTGTCCCCAAATGTCACATCCCAGCACTGGGGACTCCAGCCCTGCCTTTGAATCCTTAACATCCCTTCCCATCAAGGAATTTTCCCCAAATCCAACCTCCAACCCTCCCTGCTGCTGTTCCCTCCCCTCCTGTTCCCAGATCCCAAATCCTGGCTGTCCCCTCCTCCTCCTCCTCAGGGGACACAGAGCCACAGGGTCCCCTCTCAAATTTCATCCACCAAATATATACATATACATATTTTATTTTATTTTATTTTATTTTATTTTATTTTATTTTATTTTATTTTATTTTATTTTATTATTTTATTTTATTTTATTATTTTATTTTATTATTTTATTTTATTTTATTTTATTTTATTTTATTTTATTTTATTTTATTTTTTAATTTTTTTTTTCTTCTTGAATTCCCACCTTCCATTATGTTGGACCAATGGCCAGCTTGTTGAAGTTTTGTATTTTATATTGATGTGGTTATTTTAACTCATCCCTGACACCCCAGCAGTTTGAACACCCCATCATGGAAGGGCAGTGGGAGACAAAACTCTCTGAATTCAGTGGAGAACTGTCCATAATTTTTTCATAATTTTTATAATTTTCATAATTCTCCACTCAGCAAACATCAGAGATTAAAAGGTTTTGGCTGGTGGCCAGCCAGAGATTATCATGGAATTGTTTGGGTTGGGAAAAAACCTTAAAGTCCATCAAATCCCATTGAGGAGCAGATTCCAACCATAATTTTGTGAAAAAAAAAAAAAAATTAAAAATTGAGTTTTATTTCATTCTCCTTCTGGACAAAAAAATCTCTGCAGCCTCTTCCCTGCTCCAAGGATTTACCTGGAATGTTCCTGGCTCTGGCCATGCCTGACTTGGAGTAATTTACTCAGGGTTTACTCCAAGCTGTGTGTAGGAACCCAGGCTTTGCACTGAGGTGGTTTTAACTGGTTCCCATTTAACCATCCCCACAAAAAAAAAAAAAAATTAAAAAAAAATAAAAATCAACACCCAGGACAAATGATTTTATTGCTTCAAAGGATCTTTGCTGAGTATCTGCAGATAAAATCCTTTATGTGCAAAAAAATTCGGTGAAAACTCCTCTCTAAATTAATAAATTAGCTCTCCTCTAAATTTAATAAATAACTCTCCTCTAATTAATAAACTCTCCTCTAAATTAATAAATTACTGTCTCCAGCAGGACACACTGGGGGCCCATCCAGGGCTGAAATAACCTGACAGTAAAACCTGAGGAAAAATTAAAACTGAGGGTGACATTTGCTCCAGAATTGCAGCAAAACAAAACCAATAAATCATAAATCATAAATCATAAATCATAAATCATAAATCATAAATCATAAATCATAAATCATAAATCCTTGGGTTGATACGAGTTTTGCTCAGTGCAGGCCTTACTAAAACTGATTTTATCTGTGAACTGACAGGAGAGTGCCCTCAAAAAAAAAAAAAAAAAAATCATTATTTTGGGTTATTGAAAGCTTTAATTCACGTTTGTGAGAGAAAATTTTTCCTTCTCAATGCCACGAAACTCCGTGGGTATAAAAATATCGAGGTTCAGAATTGTCCCCAGAGCTTTGTGCCTGCTTCCCTTTCCAGCTGGGGCTTGGTCACCTGCTGCAGGTGGTGACACACGGGGAGTGCCCTGAAATCAACTCACACACCTTGAAACTGCTTCCTAAAGGGCTCAGGCACAGCTGAAAACTCATTTTGTGGAAAAAAAAAATTCAAAAAAAAAATCAAAAAACAACCTTTGGGGCATTTGGGGAAAAGTGTAGCTTTTTAAATTTAGTAGGATTTGAGCTCAAGGAGAATATTTTCAATGGGGGTGAGATCTAGGCAGGCATTGATCCTTGATCCTTGATTCTTGATTCTTAATTCTTGATCCTTGATCCTTGATCCTTGATCCTTGATTCTTAATTCTTGATCCTTGATCCTTGATTCTTGATTCTTGATCCTTGATCCTTGATCCTTGATCCTTGATCCTTGATTCTTAATTCTTGATTCTTGATTCTTGATTCTTTATTCTTGATCCTTGATCCTTGATCCTTGATCCTTGATCCTTGATCCTTGATTCTTGATTCTTAATTCTTGATCCTTGATCCTTGATCCTTGATCCTTGATTCTTGNCTTGATCCTTGATCCTTGATCCTTGATCCTTGATTCTTGATCCTTGATCCTTGATCCTTGATTCTTGATTCTTGATCCTTGATTCTTTATTGTTTATTTCTAGAAATCCCTTTGGGGGCTGTAAATGGGAAGGATGAACTCATTCATGAGGTGTCACTCATTATTTGGGGGCTGGAGAGCTGGGATCAGTCACAGCCTGATCCCCCAGGGCATTTTCATCTGGGATATGGGAAGGAGGGGATAATTCTTCCAATGGATTTGAATTTGGGATATGGGGAAGGAAAGGAACAGTTCCTCCAATGGATTTTCATTTGGGATATGGGAAGGAGGGGATGGTTCTTCAATGGATTTATGTTTGGGATTGTGGGGAATGAAGGGAACAGATCCTCCAGTGGATTTTCATCTGGGATATGGAAAAGAGGGGATGATTCTTCCAATGGATTTTCATTTGGGGTTGTGAGAAGTAAGGGATGATTCTTCCAATGGAATTGCCTTTGGGATATGGGAAGTAGAGGATGATTCTTCCAAGGGGTTTGCATTTGGGATATGGGAAGGAGGGGATGATTCTTCAAAGGATTTTCATTTGGGATGTGGGAAGTAGAGGATGATTCTTTCACTGGATTTGCATTTGGGATTGTGGGAAGGAGGGGACAGTTCCTCCAAGTCATTTGAATTTGGGATGTGGAGAAGGAAAGGAACAGTTCTTCTAATGGATTTGCATTTGGGATATGGGAAGGAAGGGAGGGATAATTCTTCAACGGATTTGAATTTGGGATATGGGGAAGGAAAGGAACAGTTCCTCCAATGGATTTTCATCTGGGATATAGGAAGGAGGGGATAATTCTCCAATGGATTTTCATTTGGATATGGGAAGGAGGGGAAGATTCTCCAGTGGATTTGCCTTTGGGACTGTGGGGAGGGGTTGGAGTTTGGGGACGGTCCCGTGGCCGCTGTGATGCCGGGTACAGGTGAGGTACCTGATGCTGCTCTCTGGCTGGAACTGCCACCCCTGCAGGTTCCAGGTCCCAGGAATTCTCAGTGTCTCTCCTGCACCTCGCTGCTGTCCAGGTTTATTTTAAGTGGCCAGTTCCCTCTCGCCGTCTCTCCAGGTCTTTCCTCTCTCCCAGCCATCTCTCCATCTGCATGTTTTAACTCCCCCAGCTGCCTCTCTCGTCTCTTGTGCCATTTTTTTTTTTTTTTTTTTTTTTTCAGCTCTCTTGGCTCCTCTCTTCTCTTTGCCTGCTGTGTATTTTAACTCCCGGGGCCGCCTTCTCTGCTCTCCAAGTAATTCCCTCCCACTGCTGCTCTCCCATTCTTCCTTCCCCATGTTTCATGCATTTCCTGCTGCTTGGACGCTCTGTTGGAGCAGTGAACATATAGAATCAATGTTTATTTTCAGCCTGCATATGCCACGCAGGGAACACGGTGTCAGTTCTTTTGTGCAGATGTATTTCTCGTGGACGTTTTAGAAATAATTCCCTTTTTTGACGGGGAAAAAAAAAAAAAAAATGTATTTAGGTTGGTTTGGGGGTGTCTGCGGGGTGAGGGCGACTCTTCCGTGGCTTGGAGCTGGCAGTGGGAATTCTGTGGTGTCTCTGTGTCACCTCC